TAATGTACATTTTTATGAGAAAATGTTGTGTTTGAAAACTTTGGAACAATCTATATGTGTCAGTCAGCATTTCCAACACTTTAAATATGTAATGATGAGCAACCAACTATGAGAACAGTGCATCAAATATCACTGGCAGGGTTAGGTAAGGTAACCTCAAAGCATCATTTCTTGAACGATTTTTCAAACTTTTGGCCAACTAGTGTTAGTATATAACGAATTTGGGCTCATAAAGTTCTTCAGCAATGTACATCAATGTCACAGGTCACTAAGAGTATTTAACAATTTGTATTGTCTGCAACTGACCGTACACTTGGCAAATTATATATAATATTATCACAAAGTATCACAGCACATTAAGGTGATCAATAATATTATCATATATAGATGAATATGACGGATTATATATATATGATGAAAGTGTTATAACTTTAACTTCACACCTTTAAATATCTTAATTGTTTTTAACTCACCGTTTTAGGAGCGGTAATCGTAAGTATGCCATCGGAGGACATAACAGCAGTGATGGCTTTTATGTCGGTGAAGTGTGGCAAGGTAAAGTGGTGTGTGAAGCTGTGGGAGAGGCCAGACGAGTCCATATTGTTGGTGAGACCCTCCACCACTACCTCACTCTCCCCCGCCACCTTCACTTTCACCGCTCCGTCCATAAAGTCATGAACGTCAATCACGATCTGCAATATTATCACAAGTTTACATCATTATATATCTTTCACAAAACCCAAATTTTTCTTACATAACCAACATTTTGCCAAATACTTGACACATCATTATACATGTACAGTACAGTCCAGACTATGGTGGGGGATCCTGCAGAATGGAATGGTTTTATCGTACTTAGTGCGGCCTCCGAAAGCAATTTAAAATTATGAAACTTGATCCGTAAGTTTTTCTTATATACTTTAATGATCAGCGAATAATACAAGGTGAGGCCTTATAAAATCTTCTCGTTAAGTAAAATTTGGTTTCCGTATGACGAAAGGTTCCCCGCCCCTGGTCCAAACTCCTGGTCGTAGAGTTTCTTATAAAAGACATGGATTTTACCTTATGACAAGTGGTGTCAGTGGAGGCGGTGACTGCTAGTACTTCCTCCTTCTGGTTGTGCTCCCGTAGCTGTCTGTAGCGACTGAGGTTGTTGGAGAGACGGAGTTTATTGTCATCTAATCTGTCAGCGAGAAGTGATGTCTCACCCCATCTCCCAAGTGCCTCTTGGACGGCGTCGTTGAAGAGTGCCTGTGCATGCCCGAAGAAGGAATCTTGGAAGAAAAGTCCTCTTCTACTGATGGGGAGGGAGAAGTTCCACAAACTGTCTGCAGATTGTTTACTGTGATCACAGTTCATTTGTGACGAAGAGCTGGAAATCTTTGTAGAAAGTGACTTCTGACCGCAGATGGGAGCCATGCTGATTTACTCTTGATTTTAACTCTTGATTTACACTAGAACAGACCAGTTTAGTTGATGCTCCACCAAGTAGGGTAAGCAGTATACTGTGGGTTGTGGGGTGCGAGCTGCCTTTATACCAAGGGGGTCCCTCTCGTGGCTGTGACGTGTCCCGGGCATCACCTGTTTATTCTTAGGCGTCGTCGACGGTGCCAACTTGGCTGCATAAGAGAGATTACTCACAGCTATTCCATTAATTCCAGATTTTCTCTCTCTCTCTTCATTCATTATATATATATATATATATATATATATATATATATATATATATATATATATATATATATATATATATATATCACAAGGAGGACAAGGTCTCCTCTGAATACTTTTTATTTTCTTCTCCGAGGCTATGGGTCCCCACATTGGCACCAGAGGTGGCACCCTCACAAACTTATAAATATAAATATATATATATATATATATATATATATATATATATATATATATATATATATATATATATATATATATATATAAAATTCAGTTAACATATGTCAGAGATGTTTAATCACCCTTATTGGAAAATGACCCAACAATTTTAAACAGATATTGCGACAACTAGATGATTCTAAAATACCGCAATGAGACTATTTTAGTGGAGTGACAGAAGCCGTTGTGTATTAGTGTAGTGAGCAGCAGTCAGCGATTATCTTGTCCAAGTGTGTAAGACGAGCCAAAGGGGTGACCAGCACCCACCAGAATACCTTCTTAACTCACACCTCCGCTGACAACTTATATGCGAGTAATTCCTATATGGTTTTTTTCACGCATAAAGTAATAAATCCAAGGTTTAAAATCCAGCTTGAAAAATTCTTTTAAGACAAATGGGGCGACCTTTGTCAAGCCGCAGGCTTCCTGTGTGTTAGGTAAGGAGTAAATTTATTTTGTTCATTTATTATGGACCACATACCAATCCTGTGGGCGGTAGTGGAACACGTTACAGAGGCACATGTACGAGGTATTTTGTATTTTGTAATTTATTTAGGCTTCAACAAAAATTAAGTATATTATTAATTTGCACAAGAAATTAATAATATACTTAATAATATATACACTGATTGATCCAGCAGCCACTTTCCACCGACCTTAGCATGCGCCTAGCCTATACTATTGTGTGATACACTCATCTAATGTTATTTTTTATTTATATATATACAAGAAGGTACATTGGGTTTATAGGAGTACATAGCATTGATTTTTTACATTCTTGTAAAGCCACTAACACGCATAGCGTTTCCGGGCAAGTCCTTAGTCTGACAGAGATAATTTGAAGTAGGTAATTTGTAACAAAATTTGAAGAATTTTAACAGGCACATTGTAAGAAAATTTGAAGAAAATTAATAGGTACATTATAGTAAAATTTTAGGATTATCAACAGGTAAATTTTAGCATAATTTGAGGATAAATTCTAGGTACATTGTAGTAAAATTTGTGTTTTGAGCAGAGTGAGTTCCATAGACTAAGTCCCTTTATTTGCATAGTGTTTACACGGATTTAGTTTGACTCAGGGGATATCAAAGATATATTTATTTCTGGTGTGGTGATTATGGGTTCTATTACATCTGTCAAGGAAGTTTAGATTAGGATTTGCATTTAGGAACAAGGTTTTGTACATGTAAATAACACAAGAGAATGTGTAAAGTGAGTTTATGTTTAGTATGTTTAGGGATTTAAACAGAGGGTCTGTGTGTTATCTAAAAACAGTTTGTTATTGTTCTGATAACAGATTTTTGCTGGGTGATGATGGGCTTGAGGAAGTTTGTTATCTTATCATGCACAAGTTTACTGTCCCTCCCATGATGAACAAGTTTACTGATAGTATTTAATTCCATAATGATTATATAATTTTAAATGGTACTCCTTGATATGACGGAGAGTTGTTTAAGAATTAGTTAAGAATTAGTTAATTAGTAGCGCTCCCTTAATAAAGAAACTTTAATTATAAAATATCTATGAGACGAAACAATTTTGTTATTAGGGGAAAATATTGCTTAAGAGTTTTCTAAAACTTTTATAAAATAATTGACTTTCATATGTATATACGCACATGTTCAGTGTCGTAAATTTACATAAGATAAATATATATATATGTGAAAAAGGTTTAAAAATGGTTAGTAGATTAACCCAAAAAGACTGCGCATGTCATAGACTTCCTTGGACGTCTTATGCTCCTATTTTCGTCTTATTACAATATAAAATTACCCAACATCTGTGCAAAATTATTTAGAATTTATATTAACTGGTATCATAATAACCTATTAAGTTTAAATTGAGTTTTTACTTGCGTAATTGTAAGTGTTTCTGGCACCTTCACGAATGGTTCATCTAGACCTCATACAAAAGTCATTAATTAATTAATTTAATTTTGTCGGAGACAGGCAGTCTGAGAATATGTTTGATTTATATCGAGATCAGCCCCCTAAAGGTCGAACAACTGACCCTCTCCAAGATGAAATCCCACAACTGTTACTTAACTCCAAGGTACCCACAAAGGGGCATCGTAGCCTGGTGGATAGCGCGCAGGACTCGTAATTCTGTGGCGCGGGTTCGATTCCCGCACGAGGCAGAAACAAATGGGCAAAGTTTCTTTCGCCCTGAATGCCCCTGTTACCTAGCAGTAAATAGGTACCTGGGAGTTAGTCAGCTGTCACGGGCTGCTTCCTGGGGGTGGAGGCCTGGTCTAGGACCGGGCCGCGGGGACACTAAAGCCCCGAAATCATCTCAAGATAACCTCAAGATAACACCATTTATTGTTAGTTGAAAAGCCCATTAGGTGAAAGGAAACTTTCACCAATTCTATCCCGTCAGGGAATCGAATCCGGGATCACCAGATCTGATTCAGGAACACAGCTAACTGTACTGCGAGTCCCTATAAAATATACTGCATACGCCATTCTAGCAACTGTCTGTAACACAGTAACAGCCCCGCTCCTGTATCAGGTAAGTCCACTACGGGCTCACCATAGCCCGTGCTACTTGGAACTTTTTGTTCCCAGAAGCTGAATCTTAAACAACAACAACAACAGCCTGTCTAGCCATGAGCTGGTGGTCCAGTGGCTAGATCAATGTATAGCAAACCTAAATATGTAATATGTTCCTAGTATTCTGAACTCTAATTAATATAACTCTAATTAAAAAAATTATATATATATATATATATATATATATATATATATATATATATATATATATATATATATATATATATATATATATATATATATATATATATATATATATATATATATATACAAACACACACACATATATTATATATGCATATATATATATATATATATATATATATATATATATATATATATATATATATATATATATATATATATATATATATATATATATATATGAATGAAGAGAGAGAGAGCGAGAAAAATCTGGAATTAATGGAATAGCTGTGAGTAATCTCTCTTATGCAGCCAAGTTGGCACCGTCGACGACGCCTAAGAATAAACAGGTGATGCCCGGGACACGTCACAGCCACGAGAGGGAGCCCCTTGGTATAAAGGCAGCTCGCACCCCACAACCCACAGTATACTGCTTACCCTACTTGGTGGAGCATCAACTAAACTGGTCTGTTCTAGTGTAAATCAAGAGTTAAAATCAAGAGTAAATCAGCATGGCTCCCATCTGCGGTCAGAAGTCACTTTCTACAAAGATTTCCAGTTCTTCGTCACAAATGAACTGTGATCACAGTAAACAATCTGCAGACAATTTGTGGAACTTCTCCCTCCCCATCAGTAGAAGAGGACTTTTCTTCCAAGATTCCTTCTTCGGGCATGCACAGGCACTCTTCAACGACGCCGTCCAAGAGGCACTTGGGAGATGGGGTGAGACATCACTTCTCGCTGACAGATTAGATGACAATAAACTCCGTCTCTCCAACAACCTCAGTCGCTACAGACAGCTACGGGAGCACAACCAGAAGGAGGAAGTACTAGCAGTCACCGCCTCCACTGACACAACTTGTCATAAGGTAAAATTCATGTCTTTTATAAGAAACTCTACGACCAGGAGTTTGGACCAGGGGCGGGGAACCTTTCGTCATACGAAAACCAAATTTTACTTAACGAGATGATTTTATAAAGCCTCACCTCGTATTATTCACTGATCATTAAAGTATATAAGAAAAACTTACGGATCAAATTTCATGATTTTAAATTGCTTTCGGAGGCCGCACTAAGTACGATAAAACCATTCCATTCTGCAGGATCCCCCACCATAGTCTGGACTGTACTGTACTTGTATAATGATGTGTCAAGTATTTGGCAAAATGTTGGTTATGTAAGAAAAATTTGGGTTTTGTGAAAGATATATAATGATGTAAACTTGTGATAATATTGCAGATCGTGATTGACGTTCATGACTTTATGGACGGAGCGGTGAAAGTGAAGGTGGCGGGGGAGAGTGAGGTAGTGGTGGAGGGTCTCACCAACAATATGGACTCGTCTGGTCTCTCCCACAGCTTCACACACCACTTTACCTTGCCACACTTCACCGACATAAAAGCCATCACTGCTGTTATGTCCTCCGATGGCATACTTACGATTACCGCTCCTAAAACGGTGAGTTAAAAACAATTAAGATATTTAAAGGTGTGAAGTTAAAGTTATAACACTTTCATCATATATATATATAATCCGTCATATTCATCTATATATGATAATATTATTGATCACCTTAATGTGCTGTGATACTTTGTGATAATATTATATATAATTTGCCAAGTGTACGGTCAGTTGCAGACAATACAAATTGTTAAATACTCTTAGTGACCTGTGACATTGATGTACATTGCTGAAGAACTTTATGAGCCCAAATTCGTTATATACTAACACTAGTTGGCCAAAACTTTGAAAAATCATTCAAGAAATGATGCCATTGATATTTGATATGTATTATTCTGATAGTTGCTCATCATTATATATTTAAATTGTTGGTAACGCTGATAGGCTCATATAGATCGTTAACATAAAGTTTTCAAACATAATGCCATTTCCCATAAAAATAACGAATACAGGCATAACTTTGTTTTAAACCCACCATAATGGAAACTTGATATTCATGTAACATGAAATAAATATGCTAAATCAATTTATCACAATTCAATTGACAGACAAATGGTCCACATAACGAAGGCTCAGCGATCCCCATAAGAGTCGAGGGAGCAGTTAGTGCTGAAGAGTCAACATCTCTGGCGGCCTCACACAACTCCACCTCCAGCAACACGAAGTTACCAGAGTCACCGGAGGACGAGTGTGACTGCAGAAGTTGTCTTCAGGATCAAAAAGAACAAAGAAGTCACACTAAGCAACAGCGTGTACATAAGATTCCTATTAGGATCAACTCAACTCTGGTTAAGAACAAATGTGATTTGCAAACCAGTGATGTAAAAACTTCCTTTAATAATACTCTTCAGTCAGAGATTAAATCACAGGAAGAATCAAAACGTAACGCAATAAACATTGTTACAAAGCAAAGCAACAGTCATGAAGACGCAAGCCATATCCAGAAAGCTGCAAGTGTTTCATCAAACACAAGAGCCACTTCCAGCAAGCAACACACTTCGGAGAATCACGCTAACACTGCCTCCGAGATCCAGACAAAGAAATCATCCGTTGACAAAGAGGTTCGAAATATTCCCTTGTCTCAGAGCAGTTTTCTACCAATTACCAGAAGAGGGCAGTTCTTTAACGACTCGTTCTTCGAAGATGCCCAAAAAGACTTCCAGAACGCCGTCAACGAGATCCTTAGAAGATGGGGCCGGGAAGAGCTTCCCTCTGACAGATGGGAAGACTCTAATCTCCGTCTTGGTAGCAGTCTCAGTCGGTACAGACAGCTCAGAGCCCACAACCTCAGGGAGGAGAACCAGGCCATAACGATCACCACTAACGATACTTGTCACAAGGTTAGACACCTGTTTTATTCTCAAACACTAAATGTACATTATTTTATCTAATTCTATAAAATTACATCAGAATTTGAGTATTAGCATGTACCTTTTGCTGATTTCAGGATTAATTATGATAAATAGTTGAATTACAAGATAATTACAAGATAATAACCAACTAAAGCCAGATAAATCTTTTTTGCAGATCGTGATGGATGTTCATGACTTCATGGAGGGAGAGGTGAAGGTGAAGGTGGTGGGGCAGAAGGTGGTGATGGTGGAGGGTCACACCAACAGTAACACCAACACTGGAGACTTCTCTCTAACTTCTCAGAGCTTCAGGCGGCAGTTTTCTTTGCCAGACCAAACCAACATTGAGGTCATCACTGCCGCCATGTCCTCCGACGGTATACTCACTATCACTGTTCCCAAAAGTGTAAGTATTATAGAAACTCCTAAATATTATTTTCATTCAAACAATGATATATTCCATTGCTTTTTAACAGAACAACTTTCAAACCTCGACATTTTATCAACAGGTCAACCGAGGACAGAATAATGGCATGATTATTCCCATCACAATTGAAGGTAATCATAATAGTGAAACTGACGTGAAGGGTTCGGTCACATCCGTCTCTAAGGCAACTACAAGCAACACTGCTTCTGATACAAACTCCAAACTGCTGGAAGTAAAAGAAGAAAACTGCAAATCTGAAGAATGTCAGAAGAAGGAGTGTATGCAAAATAAAACTGAATCGACTCTACGACAAAATGAAGAGAAGAAGTTTGCAACGATGCAGAAGGTTTCTGCTAACAGCACAAATAGCTCCAATTCAAGCTGTACAAAGCAGAGAGACACCGAAGTCACTGGACTTGTAGGAACTTGTGGTACTCATGATGATACTTCGCAACAGAAGTTGTCAGGCGTTTCATCAAAGAGCGAACAACTATCTCGTTCTCATCATTCTGAAATTAGGCAGTTCTGTGAGCCTGGTAACATCCACATCTCTAACTTGACAACTCTTCCCATCACGACAAGGGGTCTCTTCTTTGATGATTCCTTCTTCCAAAATGCTTGGAAAGATTTCCAGGATGCTGTTAAGGAGGTGGTGTCCAGGTGGGGGCAAGAATCATCCACTTCAGACTATTTAACCTGCTACAGAAACCTTCGAACTCGTGACCTGAAGGACGAGAATCAGGCAGTAAAGTCTTCCGAGGATGAATTTAACTATAAGGTAAGCTGACGTACAAGGTAAAAATTAACCACAATGAAAATATTCAACTCACTAAGGTAATTGTAAAAATCCCACTATAACCAAATAAATTGTATTACAGTTTGTTGTGGACGTGCAAGACTTCACAGACGGAGGTGAGATCACTGTTAAGGCTGTGAACGAGAAAGAGTTGGTGGTGGAGGGTCACGTGGAGAAGAAAGAGGGAGGATCAAAGTTCACAAAGAAGTTCCTTCGTCGTTTCGTTGTGCCGGGAAGTATTTATTTAGAATCAGTTACGTCAGTTATGTCTTCAGATGGTGTGCTAACTATCACTGCACCAAAGAAGGTAAGGAAAGTATTCTGACTTTTATTAGAATAACTTTGGCAATTACAAATATAAAACTAGACAATTGTAAATTATTTGACCATACAGTATTCGTAATTATGAAGACTTTTGTTACTGATATTTCATACTATTTTCTTTAGCCCGAAACATTGAAAATCAAGGAGGTCATCGTGCCCATGAGCGTCGAGGAAGGAACTAACGAGGCGAAGAGCTTCAACCAGTCGTCAAGCCACACCTTGAGGGCAAGTGTTGAAACTCCTGCCAGTGAACCATCCACAGCTGTTACCATAGACACCGAGGAGAACTGCGACTCGCCTTCTGTAGATGTCTCCTCGACTTTATTTTCTGCCACTGAGTTAACGCAGCATGATGGATCTTCAACTCATGACATCTCCTCTCTTCCTCTAGACACGGTAAATGTTAATCTACATATACAACATTCAGAATATACATATTAATACACATTTTATTCTAAGAGATATTAAATTTGTGCATTGATGTTACTATTATATTAAATTCCTGTTCATATCGACAGGTCATTTGCAGTAAAGAACACGTCATCCCAGTACAACTCGAAGAAGAATTGCAAACTCTTTCATGTGATATGAAATCTATCACAGCAAAGAACAAAATATCTCAACGTGATCAGCTAACGAACGAAACATCTTTGGGAACTAAAGTCACCACTATTGAGAACTTGTCATCTAAAGGAACAACTGAGAGAAATGAGCGCACCTCTGATAAATCTGAAGTTGCTTCAACTATCCAGAAAGTCAATATGGAAGGTCAAGCCGCAAACCTGAACTGCCAAACAAAGTCCAACGTGTTTAATGCTAAAGAAGTAGATAAAACCAAGTTAAATGTTGCCCGCAATATTCAAGATCAACGTGAGAATATTAACTGTGTTTCCGTTAATAAACTTGTACCCATAAGCATGAAGGGCTCCTTCTTCAGTGATACTTTCTTCGAGGATGCCAGAGAAAACTTTGCGGCTGCGGTCAAGGATGTACTGAGGAGGACAAATGTAGCAACTTACCTGAGTGACGAACTCTCTTCCTACCGGAACTTGCGACTAAGAGATTTAAGATCAGAGAACCAAGCCTTCCGTGTAGAAGAAGACCAGCATGCCTTGAAAGTAAGAATTTAGGACCAAAAAGTATAACCTTTATTTATTATCTTCAATAAAGCTGTTTTTAATACTTTAATACAAATTAATATATTTAAATATTAATCAATGACAATTCAATCAACAGATTGTGGTAGACGTCTTCGACTTCATTGGAGGTGACGTGAACGTAGAAGTTGTTGGAGGAAAAGAAGTTTTGGTTGAGGGAAAAGCCAAGAGACAAGAGGGAACATCGGCAGCCACACAGACATTCCTGCTGCGGTTCTCATTGCCTCACAACGTTGACCTGCAGGGAATCTCCTCGGCCATGTCCTCCGACGGCGTCCTCACAGTCATTTCTCCCAAGATACAAAAGACTGTCGGTTCCGATGCATCGAACATTGAAAGGACAATTGAGAGTCATTCAAGGATGGAGAGCCACAGCGACACAGGAAAATCGTTGCAGGAGAAGAATATGCGACAGTCAATCAAAGAATCCGAGGGCTCTAGCTCCCGGTCCTTCAGCAGCTGCCAACGCTCTCAGCACCAATATTCCTCCAACAAACAATTTTAATGACAATATATTTTCCTTTAACAATTAAGAGAATAGGATTTTTTCTTATTAGATGTGTTGATAATTGATGAGAAAATAATTGATGTTAAATTCAAATAGTATGTTAATCCTAATTAAGCCAAAATTATTATAATAATGGAATGTTTTGTGATCGTGAGATTACAAGATTATTGAACGTGAGCGGCGCCAGTTGTGGATGACAGCAACTTTACAGGTAAGGAACGCATCATGCTTTAATTGTCACAGATTATCACATATCCTATACATATAGGATATGACATAATTTGTTACCAGTATATCTCATATTAACTGACATATACTGTTAAGAAGCCTCATATATTAGACGAGATATACTGATAAGAAGCCTTGTATGTTAGACAAGATATTCAAGAAATTTTATATATTGCTTGGTTTTTATGGTTGTATAACTGATAATGCTATTCTGATAGTTCTGTTAATTCCTACAGATGTCACGACCTCTGGCGCCGCGGTGACCTGACCTGCAGAAGTAACCTAAACATTCCCTTGTTAGAAATAACTTTTACGAATTATTATACTGGAAATTACATTCAATATATTAATGGGAATTTTGTATCGAATTTTGTTATATTGTTAACGAATATATTTGATATTTTAAAATAATATTTTATAATATATATATTTATTCAAAAAATAAATGAAATTAAATAATCATATTATTTTACATGTATATCCTGATTACTGTGTTCGAAGTTCGTCTTTGGTAGAACATTACTATGCAACAGCTACATGCTTATAAACTTAGTATATGTACTACGAGAAAGATAAACTAATATGTAAAATTAACAATAATATTCACAAATAAAACATACGTATCCTCCATTGTCATTCACAGATGAAAATTATATATTTATTTAACATTTCTTGGAAAATTAATATGCAGGAAAATAATCGTCTAAAAGACGATAGTAGCCATCAAAGTGTACCATCTTGAACTTTGATATCTCCACCAAGAACCAAACGAGTTTTCAAAATGTGCAAAGTTAATAATGTTGCATTTTTCAATTCTTAAAAGGATATAAATTACAAGAATTCTGTTAAAGCTTTACTTTAATCACGAGGAATTCATATAATATAAAACATAATTAAATGATTGTTAAAAGAGAACTTAAAACAATTTTACATTCTACAGGGTGGATTCTTTTATAAAACTGGTATACTACAAGGATAAGCCTCAGTGGCGAGTCTAGCCTAGCACCATAAGAAAACATATACTTATTATTATTAACATCTTTATTGACAAAATTTAATTACAATTTTGCCTAATCTGAGGATTTCAATTAAGTCTTATTAAAGTAAGGATAATGCTGGTATTCACTGTCACACATGACAGAGGGTCATGCACAAGACAATAGTTATAAACTGTAGGCTGAAGCACATATATATCATGGTTACAGGCATTGTTTTAATGTATGAATATGTAAAATCAACTTTCCATTGTGCACTGCCACACAAGGGCAGGGATGGGTTCATAAGAGATGCAGCTTAAAAATAATATAAATAAAATTGTTCTTCAATATTTAAAATGGACAAGCAAATGTCGGATAAATTGTTAGGATGACGTCCAGTACACCAGATTCAATGAAATAGTTACACAGTTGGTGGTACAATAGGTCAGGAGGTCTAAAATCTTTTACGGTTTTACATTCAACAATATAGTGTTCTAATGAATGCAATAATGGTTTGTCACAGAGTTTGCAAATCTGAATATTCTGGTAGTGACTAAGACTATAATGCGGTTGATTAGCACAATTTACTCCGCAAGAGAGTAGCACACGATGAGTATTTGAAGGAAGCGCCGAAGTCTTGGGTGTGCTTCTTGGTCCACTGGTCAACTTTAGCTTGCTGTTCCGGATTGAGACGCTTCTGGCCATCTCCAACCACACCTGATGCATACGAAGTTTAAGTATTCTTATGTACAAGGTAACAATATATAAAAACACTTACTTTAAGAGTTTAAAACCAACTTTACCTGGTAAAGCCTGGTAAAGTTACTAATTCAATGTTGTAATCAAATTGACACTTATTAACACGAGTTCCTCCGTAACTCATAAGCTTTTGAAAATTTTAATTATTTTGAATCCTTGTGATTGTTAAAAATAATTCAGATATAAAATTATGGAAAATAACGTTAACGTAAATTATTAAATAACGTAAAATAATGAGAGAAGTTTTAGTTATTAAAAGTCCAATAATTTTGCGTTCAAAGCTAAAACCTCATTGTGATCGACGACAATTCGAACCACCTCGCATTTTCCAAGAAGAATTAGAACTAAGGCCTAACCACAAAATGAACACTGTATCATGGGGTATGATACAAAGCTAAATACATTCAAAGATTCTGCAATACTCAAGACCATGAAATAAATGAACTTTATAATGGTCCATGACGGACCGAAACGTAGTTTCTTCATTCTCTGGTGTGTGGTTTGGTCATGGTCTTTATATTTATAAATCTAAGAGAATATAAGAATAGTAAGACTCTAATCTTACTATTTTATACATATTTTACCTTGTGACAGTTATCACATGTAATCAACCAATCTAATCTATGGCTTGCTTACACGAACTTTATCAAATTGTTCAGAACTCATTACATTCCTTTATTGTGAGAAAATATGAATTTCCCCCTAGAATTTGCAAAAAATTCAGCTCATCCTCCTGTTTTGGTAGTACTTATAGTAACGATGAGGTCCATAGTATATATACCGACGTACAACGAAATTAGAAAGTAGAAATCTGAACTATTGAGTTGGACAAATCGGAAAACTATTTTTTACTTTTGTTGCTCTCACAAATCTAACCTAACCTTCCTAGGCCTAATACACGATATCTGAGGCTTAGTATAATATATATGTGCGCTATACTAAGCTTAGGAATATTTAAGTTTGTTTTTTTAGCTTCATTTATTTTAAAATAATTTCTTACCAGTCAGTATACTACTACCTAAAAGATAAGTACGTACGAATTAGTGACTACTGACGACCGTCACAATATGTACTATTTAAACAGAAGGATGGGTTGAAATAATTATATTGTCCAGTGCTAAGCATAAATACACATTACTTCAATCTCGCCTCACTATAACCACTTATGCTGCGTTCCAACATGGCGACGGCTGGAGATGCGCGCAGCGTCTCATACAAACATTCACGATTCCATATACATTAAACTATGTTACTTAATGTACTCTAACTTACCCTACCATAATCTACCCCTAACCTATTTGATTTGTGACTAACTCCCAAAGATACTTCGACTCACAATCTGTCTCTTGATTAAACCATACACTTTTCATAAAACAGTAACACTTTGATACCACCATTAACACAACTCATCTTTGCCATCCTAAGTCCAATTTCACTCATATGTTTATATTTCACATTATCCTCACACAAATAGAGGACATCGATAACTTCCAATCTCTGCCAAATTATGAACATTGATAAGCCACCACTCGTGCAGTCATTGGGAGGAAAATCCTGCATGCAAACTGCACGTATCGCGAAGAAGAAGAAGAAGAAGAGACAATCACCTACCTGTTTAACGGCATGACACGTGGGCTTAATGATCTCAGATACTACCAATAAGAAATATTTGCACCTTAAGCTACAAATCATTATTCACAAAATAACATGGTAATGAGAGAAGAAAAGCAAGCATGCTGATGATCGATTCATTTTTGAAGTTCTTGCCGATCTCTCCCGCACCACTGGACACGCATATATTGACTTAGGCCAGTCAAGAGAACAAACAATATCTACTCAAGAACATCACTTAATAAAATGGCAAAGTTACTGAGGAGCTTAAGAATAATAAATGCATGTGCTAACCTTTCCTGAAAAAGCCGCCGTCGCTAGACAGCACCAGCTTGTTGAAAACAAATTCAGGCACAAAATTCTTCTCCACTCGAGATTTCATCTCGCTGAAGCTGGTGTAATGCGCCACCTGCGAAGAATGTTACTCTTGCTTAATGAACCTTCCGCCTGCCTAATATTGTCATATTGTGATATATTACACCATCTGACCTCAAGGTAATTTCTAATTGGAACACTGCCACACAAGTGGTTCAGCATAATACCGTAGGAAAGAGAAGAGGTACACAGTTTTGCCGCAGTGAGAGGATCATGTTAGGGGAAGCGAACCTTCACTTGAGGTAAATGACGCCAGAACACGTATTAAATTTATAATTTATTATTCATTTTTATTGTTATTTAAAATCAAAATTAACAAAGAAAATATAGTTTTAAAGAATACATATTGTTACTTTGTATTTAAGCTCAAAACTTAAAACATGTTAAATTGTTGTGCATTTTAAACGTTAAAACAGAAAGAGCCATATAAAAAAAATGTATAAAGCAACTACTAGTCTCCACAAGGACAGTGACGAGGGTTCGAACCTACGTCCGAGAGGATTTTTGTTTATTCGATGCATCACACTATTGTGATTTCTGTGTGCAACTACTAGTCTCTTTCGTCTATTTTTTGTTATTAACAAACTTACGTATACACATCAATGTGCTGCTATTCTATTCTGTATAAAAGATTATGGAATCAGAGGAGAACATAAAATAAAAGGCTGATTGATCTATTAGCCTCCACAAGAAAAATCTGGGTACAGCACAAAAACATCAAGGTTTCATTCTTGCAAAGGTATCTCCTACCTTATTATAATCCAACTCAGTTGCTAACTGAGTTGGATTATAACTTATAAATTGCGTTTTAATTTATTAATTAAACCTGAACAGATTTTCCCTCATAAAACGTTTATTATTTCATATTTAAAACTTACAGTAATAAATATTTCCCACTGCCTCACCCAATCGGTCGGGTTCATGAGTCAGCCTTGGACAATGGTCGGCCATTGGATTTCAAAAATAGTATATACATCTATGATATTTCTTAAGGATCTACTTCCTGGAGATGTAGAGCTGTACGATAACCGTTCCGATACAAGAGTTCAACATCACAGTTTAATTTACGAGTGCCAGAACTTTCAGGACGGAAAAGGACATAATGCCTTTGATAAGAACGTTTGATGGGTCCACCCCTCCCCCAATGTTTCGCCTATCCTAATTTGGTGTATTTGTATAGTGCGAACATTTCTCATTTTATGAGATTGTAGGACACGAGTCTACATTAGGCTGCCACTTTAATATATTTTTATTTGATTTTTGCTATTACTATGAATTCCAAAACTGGTGACTGTTTTCTAAAGCAGTTTCTCAAGTCCAAGGTCCTGACCCATTACTAGCTCCTAGAGCACTATTTTTTAACACACAATTAAGTAGAGTTAAGGCAGCAGAATAAAAATTAAAGAACAACAATAAGTAATAAAACTAAGCATATTATGTATAATTTAATTTCAGATAAAAATATAACATATATATTGCCTCTTAGTTTTCCGAAATTAATTTAATTTGCACCTATACTCGGATGGGTTTATCTACTGCCGGAAACTCCGAACTAACCTTCTGCAGCTGCTCCTCCGTCAGGTTGGTGTCTAAGAACTTGTTGAGCTTATGAAGTTCCAACATTGTATTGGTCTTGACATCCTCAAAAAATACGAAGTGCATGTTAGGATGGTCGCGCTTCTCCCAGGCTTCCTTCATGTGGAGCCAGTACGGCCCGTACGCCACTACCAACATCATA